AGCTCTTGTGCATTGAAAGGTATTTGGAACAGTCTTTTAAACGTACACGAAGATGATATTTATAGAATTGTTCTGTATAATTAAAGAATGTTATATATTTATAGAAAAGCAAATTTGTGTAAAATATTATATAATTAAGACAAGATTATTTACATAAACGTATAATACAAGAATATGTAACAGACTATAATTATTTGGAAAATTATATTTACGTAAAATATCCAAAAGCAGAACAAAAAGGAATAATCATAATTCTTGATGTATTCTTGTTAAAAACAAGAATAATTAGTATACTACTACTATGTATACAGTGATCCACATTCTTTTCGTCTCCCATGTCAGACGAGTTATCGTCTTCGATGATAGTGAAAAGAACTGAATTAAATAACAGCGAGGCGCCACATAGTTAGATGCCGAGAATATGATAAAGAAGGAAGGGAAAGGAAAAATTGAGCAAAAATTTTTCGGTCGTTGGATGCACGATACGTATATATATTAATTCGATAGCGTAACACGTGTATGTACGCATATGCCCACGTGAGTAAACGTACAGTTGATTTAGACGCAGATGTGTATGCGTAATCCACATTAACATCTGCAATTAACTTTGATGTAGACGGAAGATAAGTCGATTAACCTAAATACCATGCGTGCAGGAAAAGAATTTTTCTCAAAAGAGTGGAATTTCTTGCGCATTTCTCTTTTTTCTCTCTGTGAAAAAAAAAACACCACCAAACTTTCTTCTGTTTTTTTTTCACGTACACATTATTTTCTAAAAATATTTAACTCGATTAAATTTTCGAATCAAAATCTGCTTTACTTTAAATAATTATTGCAGCGTAATACTTCGTACGTTAATTCCATATATTTCTGAGCGAGTATGAATTATCCTTTATTAAGTCTTTAATCCAACTACAAAAAGAATGAGAAAGATAATTACAGATTTATGTTTAATATTAATTTTAAATGATTTGGTTTGATTATATTGCAAAATAGTGAACACGCGCCGAAGAAGTCAAGCCGATTTGTAATCTGTACGCCCAAAGTACATTGACCGTTGCCGGTCGCCGTTACCTTTAAGCGAGAGCTCGGCGCATATAGCACACCACACGCGGCGCGAAAGCAGAAAACAGTCAGCGTCACCGCTGACAAAGCTACGTGATAAAAAGAACTCTGGGCGTCATGGATTACGCCGTTAACCTTCAGCGACACGAAGAGAAGAAGGAGCCGCGTTTTCATAACTCTCAGACAGCGTACGGCGATAAAGAGCGGGGGACATTGTAAATAATTGCAGCGGCGGGACACTCCATTTACCGTAATTCTCGCTAATAATTCAATAACGCACTCAGCGAGATGATTGAATAGTGAAGGAAACTCGACGAGTCGTCTGAGAGGAAATATGTAATAAGCAGCAATAGAATGTGTGCGATTTTTTGAAGGGGGGGGATACAGATTGCAAGACCACTATGATTTTAGAAAGTTTCGATTGCAATGCCGCAGATTAGAAATTCAAATCAGCATAATCTAGGGAAAGTATTTGATAAGCAAGTTAATCTTTTTTTTATTTTTAGATTTTTTGTCGCCATTACAATCACATGAAATGAATAAACATTATTCTAACAAAATCCCGTCTCTCACACACATATAAAATAAGATAACATAATGTTAAGAGATAAAAATAGAGTAGAGAAACAACAAACAAAAGAAAGAGCGCTTTAATTCATATATCCATTTTCTTTTATATAAATCCCTTTTATATAATCACGATTGATTTTTAAAAGATCACGTCATTAATGAGAGAGACACAAAATATGCATATATGCATATCCTAAGACGCGACAATGGCATTTGGCGACTACAAGATGCGAAAACTAGGAAACGAGTGTGTCCGTGACGCCCTTCTATACTTGGAACGAATTATGCACGAACCACTGCATTAAGTCACGCGTGGCCTCCTGGGGGCATTCTCGCACACGCACTTTGCACGCGTGTGTATAAATACCTAGCTACAGACATTCATTCGTGTGGGATACTTTGAATATGCGAGGTGCGTTAAACATTTCGCCAAGCAGTCAGCGTTGCGTCTGATTAACTTCATCGTATTGTCGTGCGTGCATGCGCATCGTTAATGATAGCGTCATGAATCGTGTCATTTAAATTGACTTTTCTCGAGGACAGATACTCTTTAGAAGTGCGTCTCTCTTCCGAGTACTACCATAAAGCTTTTCAATTTTAACAATAAAATAAGATTTTTAATCTCACAAACTCATATTTTATACAATATTATTCAATAGAATAATAATATAATAATTATAAAATAGTTATACAAAATTTTAGGCAAATATTTGGCTTGGTACAAGTATATTATGAATAATTATCGTTACTATTATCTGGTGTTAATCACTGTGGTTGAGCATTGTGTAACATCACTTTAGATTCTAGTCGGTGATTCACACGATTCAGATACGCGCCTTATCGAAGTACGCGCAAACATCGAAGAGAGAATATAAAGGAGTTACAAATAGAGGAAGAGCCGTTTACACGCTGTCGGTTATGTTAATCTGCGTATCTATTCATAGATCTGACAGTAATAGGTCCCGTGACACAAAAAAACGGCGCTAAACGATTATAGATTGTGGTCAGACGACATTCTGTGCTATAAAATGCTAGTTTAAGACTATTAATATATATCATATATAATAGATATATAATAGATATAGACATATATTTTTTATTATTAGTTTATAAAATAATAATTATTAATAATTATTATATTACACTTTATTATATTATAATTTATATAATTATAACGGCTCTTACGGATAAAATCAAATATATGATATATATTATATATATAAAATATAGACATATAATATATATTATAATTTTTAATTGTTAATAGTTTTTCTTACACGCGTTTCTTTTCTTATGTCATTGTAGCAATAATGTTTATTATTTTTGTTAAATTATTAAAAAGAAAATATTAATAAATCTAATTTTATACATTGTGAATTTTTCAGAATTAATAATCGCGGATAATGCATATAAAGTGGCGCTTACGATATCAGATAATAAGACCGGTCTTTGTAGCAATAATTTTGCACTCAATCAAATCATTAGTAATGATTTATTGACCGTTATATCAACTATGTAATGAAGAATATTAAATATAATCACGTCGTGGCTTAGAGGTATTTTTATTCCTATATAATATATTGATATTGAAATTATTGATGTAAATAAATCATATTTTTTAAATACCATATTTGCAATTTATATTGATATAGTAATATTTATCTCTTACGAATAATATTATAATAATTTTTGAAACAATACTTCTGCAAATACAAAAAAAGTTTCTTTTTTTTAACTTTTTTTTGCAGATTAATGTCCGTAATAACGTAATAACATCATTAATTATTTACAAATGTAATCGTCATTGTTTTCGAACAATACAAATCTAGATGTCAATCAATGGTTTTTTAACATTTTCGCTGTCGTCATGTGATGCAATCAGTTGCACGTGCCACAAGCAATTGTAAATTAACCGAAGAAAAAGCTAACTACGTGAACAATAAAGATTTATATTTGCAAATTTATTCGCCGCAGTACCACCGCATCGGATCGAAAATGCGATCGCGGATAAATCACTATAATTTCATAAATAAACGATCGGGGCGGTTCATGAGAACACGCGCATGATGTCACCGCCTACATTTGGATCGACGTCGGAGGTATATTATGTCATACGCGAATGTATATAATGGAATAAATAATATGCGATACACGCACGCATATGCACTTCCAACTTCATCGCGAGATATAGCGAATCATTTTACGACTGCATAATTGCTAGATTGTGTTCTGTCCGATGATCTGTGATTGTGAAATAGTTCAAATTTTTATTTCTTATTCCAAGTACAATCTTCCAGCGCGATGACATCACCGTTTGATTATCGTTATCTCGACAATGAATCTCTTGTCACGATAAAAATTAGATATCGAGAATTATGTCACTTTTCATTTATTAACAACAAACAATTTGATCAAGCTCGAAAGTTTAAAATTTACAATAAGCTTCATCAAATTGATCGTAACTATACATATATAAAGCTGTAACGAGACGTATGACCGCTGGAATTCTCTCGTTATTCTGATGTTCTTTCTCTCCTGAAAGAAGTACGGACGAATACGCAAGATGAGATTATACGGTTGTAAGTCCGTCTGACATTTCTCGTTAAGGTCTCTCATGATAATTGCCGCGAACGTATTTGCTTTACATCGTCCACAGTCTCGTCGGACAAAATTAACAGCAATTAACGCATTTCTTTGTTTTAAGATTCACGCTCCTCCGTCGACATTCCATCGTACCGCTAATCGTGCATTCGTTAGCGTTTGACTCGAATACAATTGACAAAAGAACCGGCACTTGTCATACACTTTTCAAATCTTGTTGAGAGCGATATACGTATTTAGATAAAATTATGTATCAAAAGAGAAAGAACATATACAAACAAAAATAAGAATTTTTAGCTATTTACATATATTTATCGATATACCAAATAGTTTCCTTTGGCATTAAAATAATTTTTAAAATAATACATTAATTTATAAATAAGCTTGTTTATATATCACAGAAAAACACACGCACATATGTTCGAGGATAATTTCGTATCTGAATTAATGTTATTCATGAGTATTTTAGCATGATTGAGTAATATGTGCGCCAGTATATCGATGAGAGATTATCATACATTAATATTTAAACGTTCATGTAAATCCCAAGTACAGGTCTTAATTTTGCTCGATGATCGTATGTATCCCCCGCTTGCTCCATATGAAGCGCGACTAAACCGTTAGCGTTTTACGAGATAACTGTGCAAATCATCGATATAACATTGTCATCGTTGCGTAAGCACCGCATTCGTCCACTACTAAATATGTAAATTACGCCTTGCACAAGATGCCGGCGGCGGCCGACAGTGTCGTTCCCGGCGACTAGTTTTCAGAGATACGCCAACTCCGTTGCTCGTACCGTGACATAGGTAGTCTTTTTGTTTCAGCTTGGTGTTCAGTTTGCTGATGTTTGCACGCTTAGTGGACTTGACAGGTAATTTCTGCAATCACGCGGCGCTCACGTATTCTCAATTATATTTTTCACCGTGTGCCATTTTAATTTAACAATCATAGGAAATTATTGGTAAAACGCACAATTATTGTTGGGTGTACAAAAGCGCATAATCGCTCATATTGTGCAACATTTAAGTATTATTACAGAGTATTATTACATGCATGATATTATATTAACAATACATGAATGAAAAAAAAAATGTAAATTTTTATTCCCGAAAAGAATGCAAATTCGAATTATTATCTTTCTTTATTTCAATCTTTTGGATTCGATTTTTAGAGAATATTAAAATTGTTACAAAATCGTAACCACTGTATGTCGGTCCACATTCGAGCTTGACTTACTAGATTGCTTATTTAACATTGACAGAATTTCATCATTAGCCTTGATCTATGCAATGCATTATTACGTGGAGAATTTAATAATCGCATTATCGTTGAATAGAATCGGCAGGGCGATTGCGAGTTCAAGGAAAACGCACGGATATCCCTACGTGTGTATATAAACGCGTGCCCGTGGCGAATACGTGCATACACGCAGGCTACCAACAGTACGACTTGCATGCTTCATCGAGCCTCAAAGGCTGGCGCACGGATTTATGGCGGTAGATAAAGCAGAATTTATTGACACCGTACTTTTTTCACAATCGACCCATTCTGCATCACCGTAACCGTATGTACACGCCTCGGTTTTGACAAATGTTCGCCGGGATTCGATTGTCTCGATGCGATTGCACATTGTTTCTTCATGAATGATAATATTACGAATATGAAGATCTCTCGTTATCCATTATAAAATAAAAATTTCACTTGATACATAGCATCAATCATTTCATGTTTAATCGATGCGGAAATAGGACAGTGTTTTATTGTGAAGTAATATCGCGCTGATAAGGTTGTGAGAACATGATATCTATGCACATTGTAACTATAAAAATGATTGCTATCGATTATAAAAGTGTATTTATGACGTATTAAATGTAGTAAGCGTAAAGTAAGTAAAATATTTTATCGATGAAAAACGAGAAAGACAGAGAAAAAGAGGAGGGATTGAATCGATAAGTTCATAATTTTTTCAAAAATTTTGGAATAGCTTTTATCATTTAGTTTACATTTTTATTATTTGTTAAATACTCACAATTATTGGAATTTTTCAATCCATGTAGATTATATTCGAAATATGCAAAAATAAGAACGCATGGTGTCATTGACATATAAAGCTTTTGTTTAAATTTTTAGATGTAGACGAAAAATTTGGCAACAATTTAACAATTGAAAAGATCATGCGAACATTAAACTCTTGAGCCTGCTGAAGGCAGTGAATGAATGGTTTACTGATTAGAATCAGAGAAGGCTCATTGCTCTCGAGAGAGACTGGAGAAGACTGCAGCCAGCAGATGAGTTGTCAGAATGTGTGCTCTGAGCGGATGTTCAGCGCGAAATTCTCATTTTTACTGTGGCATTGAATTGCAACAAAAATCATAATATCAAATAATAAAATAAACAATATATACATACACTATATGTGATAAAAAATAAAATAGATAATTGAACGAAAATTGTTCTTGACAACAGATCGCTTGTTCCTATAATATCACTTTATACATATTTTATAGAATTTTTGAGCCGAATTATGTCAATTAATCCGCGTTAATTTCATATCCGACATGATTTGTAGATAGTCAATGGTCGTAAATGTTATCGTCGTTCCCGGAATCGTTGCAGCCTCCCTTTTGCGAGAAACGATCTCGGACAAGATGCCGTCCTTCATCGACGTATCAACAGCAATAAAGACGTGTCTGGTCTCTTCAACGAATAGCAATAAGCGAGCTCGATTCGTTTGATAGTTGACGACGTGCTGCGTGATATGAGCAAACTACATTTTATATTCATGCCGGAGCCACTTGTAAGCTTTTTTTAAATTTTTTTATAATGTATATTGTCATTTTATTTAAGTATAGTTGTGTTTATCTTAGACTGGATAAAACGATGCAGAATAATCAAGGTTTAAAAAATATTCTTTAATAATTCAGCTTCTTGCTTAAACATTATTTTTATCATGTATTTTCTTATAGTAATTCTGCACTTTTAGAGATAATATCCAATTATAATATTTTAGTATAGTGTAAGTGTTCGGGATTTTGCATATCTTCCATTACACTTCAGGAAAATAATATTTTAAGATGATAAAATTTCAAAGTAAAATTTTTTTGCTCGACTTGTTTAACTTAGGGAGCTATTTTTTCAAGTCTTTGCATGCGGTCCTCACATAACCATGCTCAACTGCGAATCCAATTGCGATGCATGACGTAAGACTTTCTAAAAATGCGGTTTATGGGCTGAGGAGGAAAAAAAAAACGGTCGACTGGCAGCTTCGAGGGATGGTAGTCGCGCAAGCATCTCATAAACTTGATCGAGCTATAAATCTTAGACCATTCAAAGAAACGGCACGATTCCTATTCGCAGAATTTTGTTTGCAGTATGATAAAAAATTATTTAAACGAACGAGAAAGATTTTCGTTTCATCTTAATCGTAAAGTTCGACTCTCCAGCTTTTACATGCTGGCACGACTTCCGGAAGACAATAAAAGGTTCACTTTAACAAATTATAGCGAAATTATAGCACAAATATATAAACAAGCTTCTTTAAATAAATACAATAAGAATGTCATGTAATAAAACATATTAAATTTACGAATTTCGATATAGAACATTCCAAAATTTATAATCTTTCTATAAAAACTTGTTTGACGAATCTAAAAAGCAAAGAAATATATACATCAATTTATTAAAGTACGTATATTATCTTATTTTTAGTAAATTTGTAATGCTCATGTTTTTTTAAAAAGAAGAATAAATATAAACGCGTGATAAATGTTCAGACTATATAAATAGCTTTACTATAGTAAAGATTTTATTTCATGATTTGTATAGCGGGATTGTGTCTCCTAGGTTCACGTTGGGAAGAAAGGATAATATCTAACGAAGATATCTAAGAATAGTCAGATATAACGAAGCACGACAGCCAATAATATGAATTTTTTACTTGATATTTTAATCTCACGGCGGATAGACTTTGCAGACGACAATTATGAATTTAGATTAAAAGACGTGCTAATTTTGACCAAAGTAATACAACTCTCTGGAAAAAGGAACGTATAATAAACACTTGAATATTTTATATTAGAAGAAATCCACGCTTATAATTTTATCTATGTAAATAAAAATAATTTTTAATCAATTTAGATTAATAAAAGAATTTATAAAACAGAATAAAATTTATAATTTTCTTTGTTAGTAAAGAAATATCGTTTTTTTTTATATTTAGTAACATCGAAGTAAAGTCTTTTACATGCTGATCAAATTTGTTCCGCGGAATTTTTATTTTTAAAATGTCATTCCTCTCCCAATCAGACAGAAGGTGAATGGTCAATAACCAATAAAGTCTATATTATGTAATACAAAGCTGAGTTGAAATATATCTAACAGTACGAATTATGAGTTTAAACGTGCGCGAGTTGCAGAGGTTAATAAAAGAATAAAAACATCGGTTATATCAGAGACAAGGGGCACGACGTTATTTACATCGCGTATTAACTTTATTTGTGGACTCTTTCTTTTATTCTTCATTTTTGCGTCCCATATATTTCGATTAATATTAAGTAACTTAAGTGATGATAATCCGACTCTCTCTTCTTATTTCTTTTTTTCTCGCTTTCTGCTTTCAATAATGTTTTATGAGCAAAATACAATAATTGCGGCATCGCCGTAAAATAATCAAATTTAAAGTCAGTATTTATCATGCATAGCATTTTTTCTTAAGAATTCCATAATTTTGACTGTGCTTCTCATTTCCACGGCTCAATTAATTTCCAACCAAAGTAGAAAATTACCGTTCGCCCGACAGCGAAAGGAAAATTATTAGCACTCTGCGTGCTAAACGCGAAGCCGCATATCGAGCCGCGGCAAGGGAGAAAAGAGAAAGAAAAGACTCAAGTGCGCGGGCCCCTCGTCTTCTGCCTCGGGCGCATATGCATACGAACAGGCCCACGTATGCGGGCACGTCTGACTCACAACCGGACCGGCACGATGTAACGCGACACAACGGTGTTGCCATGGGCTTGACTCCGGCTTGACTTAAGGCGTCTGGTCCAAGGTAAATGCAGACCCTGCGGCGCGAAACGAATAAGGGGATCACGCTAAAATCACGACTTCGCATGGATACGCAGGGAGGACGGGGCCACGCGTGCACCCGGTTGACGCGAGCACCGGGTCAGCTCCTCTTTCCTCCCTCCGGTCCATGAAACGAGGGGCCCATTTCTCAGGTAGAGACGAGGCGCTCTTTCCACGTTCCTTCCAGTGGACACGCGAGAACCAGTTCTACCCGCCCACGTTTCAGACAAGACAGTCCTGACGGGACCCTTCCTTTTTACCTCCTTCTTCCTGCAACCTCGCGGGATAATTCTTGCAGCGACACGGGCTCTCTCTCTCTCTCTCTCTCTCTCTCTCTTTATCCTCTGATTCATATCTTCTTGTAGTTAAATGAATAGGATCAGAATTGATTTATCACTGTATACGCGCCGCATGCCCTTCAATTTATTAAACTGCACACGTATACTTTATGTGATATATTTATTATTAGATATTAATTCGATTTATGCAGTATTATCGATTATCGCAATTCATCGACCTTTCATCCGCGAACCCTTATCGATGGACATCGTATTTAGAATATTGATTAACTATCACTACGGTAAGAAGTCATTAAATTATTTCTTATATATAGATATCCTTGAGATACGTGACTCTAGCAAGAAAATGTACCGTAATAAAATACATATATTTCCTGTCTGTAATTTTAATGACATACATTATCTAGGTTGCACATCGGGGATTTGAAGAATTTATAATATTATATCACACCCAAGATCCGCTTTTCAAAACGTCAATCATTCGTTTACTCATAAAAGCGGAAATAAACAGAACTGACAATTGCAAATGTAAAACTTGCGAATCGAGAAATCAAAATTATATACCATTTCGCTGCTATTTTTCCGAAACTGACAGACAAAATTTTGCACTTTGGCAAAGATTACTATTATTTATTTGATCAATATTTGTCCTGAATTGAGACGAGAAATAGTATTGTTTTATTTGCTTTCTCATAGAGGAAGCTTTGTTTTATATACCCTCCTTTTTCTCTTGACATGTCGCGATTTAGCAATTGAGCCTAATAATTAATACCCTATATCCTCTCTCATAGTGATTTATTCCCTAACTTCGCGCCAGTTTTGAAGCAAGCATCGTATCGGCTAGGAAAATAGCCAATACGGTAGCAGTCGGCAGTGGGTGGGCTGCTGAACGCGGCGCACAAATACGTTATTTACCAGTGCATGCGTAGAGATGCGGCAAAAGCTCGGGCTTGAGCCGAGATCCTACCTGTCCGGGCGTCGAAGTTACTTTATTCAGGGGATAACAACCGACTTGACCAGACTAGAGTCTGACGCGCGAGGGACTCGTTTCCACTGATGTGATTAGTCTCGCTATATGTCACTAATTAATACCGAGAAATCGTTGCTCTTTTGTCATTTTAATCTAATAGCTATAAATCACTTAAAGATTAATTATTATAATAATTCACACACAGAAGGATTATTGTTTTATTTATACAATAATATATTTAATTATTTAATTAATATATATTTATTTATTTTAGTTCAATTATTTTATTCTAATATTATTATTGCTATTCTATTTTGTTGCAATTAAAAAAAAGTAGTGTCAGAAATGTTAGGTAATTAATTTTATCTAGATAAAAACAATCTAGATTGCATAAAACATATTGTCGGTACTCTGAATTTAACTATCCGAAAATGGTGGTTAGACAAAGATGCATGATAAATTCAATTCGCGGCGAAAATTAAGTTTATTTTCGGTTTGGTACCGGCAAAAATACGTTGCACATCGGGGATTTGAAGAATTTATAATATTATATCACACCCAAGATCCGCTTTTCAAAACGTCAATCATTCGTTTACTCATAAAAGCGGAAATAAACAGAACTGACAATTGCAAATGTAAAACTTGCGAATCGAGAAATCAAAATTATATACCATTTCGCTGCTATTTTTCCGAAACTGACAGACAAAATTTTGCACTTTGGCAAAGATTACTATTATTTATTTGATCAATATTTGTCCTGAATTGAGACGAGAAATAGTATTGTTTTATTTGCTTTCTCATAGAGGAAGCTTTGTTTTATATACCCTCCTTTTTCTCTTGACATGTCGCGATTTAGCAATTGAGCCTAATAATTAATACCCTATATCCTCTCTCATAGTGATTTATTCCCTAACTTCGCGCCAGTTTTGAAGCAAGCATCGTATCGGCTAGGAAAATAGCCAATACGGTAGCAGTCGGCAGTGGGTGGGCTGCTGAACGCGGCGCACAAATACGTTATTTACCAGTGCATGCGTAGAGATGCGGCAAAAGCTCGGGCTTGAGCCGAGATCCTACCTGT